AACGACTTTTTGCTGTAATATTTTGTACTTGTACCTCAACCGGTAATCGACGTGGGAATTAAAATTTTAAAATATTTAATTGTTCTCTTACGTCTCGTTGGTAAATGTCTGGCGTCGGTTGAGACTCGACCATTTTAGTTACGTCAGGCCATCCTGTGAGCCCAAAAGACGTAATTACTAATCCCGCTGCCAGTCAAAAAAAAGAAACAACTTGAATTTTGTGATAACAGTCCGGAAAAAGAATATTTTTAACACCTACCTTTGTGTACGACGTCAAGAAACATCCGACTAGGCTTCAAGATACTCGCTCTAGAATTTGGAAGTAACAATAAAGATGTCTAAGGGGATGGGGGCAAAATAATAATAGTTTTTTTTTTTTCAAATATTTCTCGCGAATTTTTTCATCCGGCTTAAAATTATACTTGTCACCGTACATTAAGTAAATCACACAGTTTTTCCGAATAGTAAATAACTTTTCATAATGTGGTTTTAATGTAATGGATCCACAAGTTAGTAAATTTGGGATCACGTGAATAATTAATAACCCCAAATTTATTTCACCTGATGATTAAAACACCCTAACGTTACTTAGAGGGGTTGGGTTAGGTTAACTTATTTCACGTGATGATTGACTAACATCTTAACGTTAACCTAACCTCCAGATAACATTAGGGTGTTTCTGTGTGTAAATAATAATATATAAAAAAATCCAAGAACAAATTACAATGTTCTCATTTAATTCAGCAAACATGGCCTCATCCCTTTGATATGACGTCTACCATTGAGTTAAAGTTTTCACCTTTTTTTTCAGGATCTACAAACTCGTGTACGATATGCTTCAGGTAAGTATTCCTTTTCGTTCAGAAGTAGATTGTCACTTAGTATACAGCTTCGTCACTGATAGAGGCGCTTCCCCTTGTTTTGGTTAGGTTAGGGGATTACTACCTTGTCTGGGGTCACTGTTCTCAGAATTAAGGTTTCACTTTTGAGTAGTTGTGTGGTGATGGTCTGGGTGTAAGAGGTGAGGTGAACCGTAGCAGTAATGTTTTTGACTCGTGTACCGTAAGACTGGTTGAAGAAGCCTAGCTACTTAACCCCACCCCATGTATGATGCAGTCTCGTCGTGTTTACAGTCAGTTAGTTGTAGTTTATAGTGATATTTAATAATAAAGATATTCTATATGTGAATTAAATCGATAAGTCAAGAGTGTAGTTTATAGCGTTATTTTAATCGTGGTTTTTTATAATATGTAGATAATCCGGATGATATACATGGTTTGTGGTTAGGTTAGGTTAGGTTAGGTTAGGTTAGGTTACTGCTGATACCTTGGACCTCAACGTAGATGACTAAGCAGAATTACAAAAAATACATCAACAATGGTAAATGTGTTGAATATATTAAATGTTCGTAGGCTTTTCACTGCGTTTCGTCCTTTCGTTCTACTTATATGGAAAGATAATTGAAATTCTTTGACTAGATATTACCCAAACACCATATTAAAAACAGGTTGTTATGTTAAGTCTTTGGGAGGGAATATCTTAGCACTGCACTTTGTGGCTGGGAGCTGAATCAATACATCACGATTACCTCAGGGCTGTTGACGGTAGTTATTATACGGGATTGTCAACAGTATTGTAATTGACGGTGATGTGGCCGAGGTGTGACCCAGTGACTCGATGCAAGGTCACTGGGTCACACCTCTTCCTCCTCCTCCTCAACCAGACCTAATTTTAGTCCACCACCTAGTCAATGCGCCTTCTCCCCTAACCCCCACCATTACCCCCACCCCCCCATCGTCACGTAACATACAGAAGTGCAGTGTTTACGTCACGTCTCTGGGCTACGAACGGGTCTGTGTGAAGGCACCTGCGGTTTCACGAACGCTGGTGACGTCAAAGAGAGATCTGAGTGATATAATGCGCGTGTTCGTTACCCAGTGTGTGTGTGTGTGTGTGTGTGGCCGCTGGTCAGACTGGTGGTGTTTAGATGACGTTGCACTTTGTTAGGTGATTCGACATCTTCCGTTCGGCCTTTAAGAGATCTCGTTTGGGTAATAGTTTAGTACAGTTTAGCAGTGTTACAGGGTGAGTCAGAAGTTTTTTGTGTTACGAGGTGTGTCAGAAGCTTGTGGTGGTGTTACAGGGTGAGTCAGGAGTTTTTAGTGTTACAGCGTGAGTCAGAAGCTTGTGGTAGTGTTACAGGGTGAGTCAGAAGCTTGTGGTGGTGTTACAGGGTGAGTCAGGAGTTTTTAGTGTTACAGGTGAGTCAGAAATTTGTGGTGGTGTTACAGGGTGAGTCAGGAGTTTTTGGTATTACAGCGTGAGTCAGAAGCTTGTGGTAGTGTTACAGGGTGAGTCAGAAGCTTGTGGTGGTGTTACAGGGTGAGTCAGGAGTTTTTAGTGTTACAGAGTGAGTCAGAAATTTGTGGTGGTGTTACAGGGTGAGTCAGGAGTTTTTGGTATTACAGCGTGAGTCAGAAGCTTGTGGTAGTGTTACAGCGTGAGTCAGAAGTTTGTGGTGGTGTTACAGGGTGAGTCAGAAGCTTATGATTAATATTATGTTAGATTGAGTGAGATTAGCATTCGCTTAGGTACTGTTAGGTTAAGTTAGGTTAGGTTAGGTTAGCTTTAGGGTAGTTATCAGTATGTGATATAAATTGAGGTGGTTATTCTTCACTTGATCCATTCATTCTCAAACTTGTACCACTTATATGTGTAATAATACCCATGGTGGTGCGCGGTGTCTTTCAGTGTGTCAAAGACAATGTTAGCGCCCACAGCTTGACTCCGGTGAGAGGGGGCGTGTTGAAGGACCATCTGGTGTGGTCTGTACAGCGCCACACTCAACAAGCAGCTACTGTTGTGTCCCCTGTAAACATGGTCTTGATGGTGAGGCCGTCGTTGTGCAGCCTGATACGGGTCCTCCCTCCATCCTCACCTTCACTTACTCTACTCGATAGTTTGTGGCCATCTCTCACATATGGCCATCTCTCACCTGTAGCCATCTCTCACCTGTGGGGGCTTCTCTCACCTGTGGGCACTTCTCTCACCTGTGGCTATCTCACCTGTGACTATCACATCTCTGGGCACTTCTCTCACCTGTGGGCACTTCTGTCACCTGTGGCCATCTCTCATCTGCGGCCATCTATCACCTGTGACCATCTCTCTCACCTGTAACCATCTCTCATCTGCGGCCATCTATCACCTGTGACCATCTCTCTCACCTGTGGCCATCTCTCATCTGCGGCCATCTATCACCTGTGACCATCTCTCTCACCTGTAACCATCTCTCATCTGCGGCCATCTATCACCTGTGACCATCTCTCTCACCTGTGGCCATCTCTCATCTGCGGCCATCTATCACCTGTGACCATCTCTCTCACCTGTAACCATCTGTCAGCTTAAAACACAGGTAAAGGACGATGGGTGGTTCTCCTGCCTGTAGGTAATGTACTGTAGCTACTTCACCGTCGCTTACACTTATACCTGGTACAGTGGCTGGTGCGTTTTGTGAGATGTGGCATATCTGTGTTTGTTTACATTATATTAAAACTCCCGAAATGGCCCTAAGGAACCTCGTATTGGTAGCCAGACGTAAAGAAGTTAGATAAGCATTACACAGACACAGGGTTGCTGGATTCCTTGAGTTGAGGTTCATTGTATGTCACTGAAGGCTGAGTCGTGTGGATGATGAAGGCTTGGCACATTTTTGGTCTTGTTGGCTCTCTGAAGTGGTTCATGGTTTTAAGAGCAGTGTTTTTTTTACTAGTTTCGGAACAGTTGATTACGGGTGATTACAGGTATTGGTACATATCTTTATCTACTGTGGATTTAATTTTCTGGTAACTCTTGCGTCCAGAGAATAATTGATTGTATTAATTACATCCCTGGCCTAACCAAACCAAACCCAACCAAACCCAAATCCAACCAAACCCAACCAAACCCAAATCCAACCAAACCCAACCAAACCCAAATCCAACCAAACCAAACCAAACCCAAATCCAACCAAACCCAACCAAGTCCATTTTGAACCTAACTAAACCTACGTTACTCACAGGTAGAGTTTGATTAAGTTATGAAAGTAAATGTGTCTTTTCAAGAAACGGAACACGTTTTACTAAATATAAAATTTTAAACTTATTTCCATTGAAGTTATAAATAAACGATAAAAGTTGTTATTCCTATTGGTGAAAAAATCTCTTTACGAGGCTTATGACTTAAGAGAGAGAGGAGAGAGAGAGAGAGAGAAAGAGAGAGAGAGAGAGAGAGAGAGAGAGAGAGAGAGAGAGGAGAGAGAGAGAGAGAGACGAAGGTAGATTGCTTCTAGGAGAGAAAGAGAGATATAGAGGAGGATAAGGAGAGGAATGGAGACAAGGGAAGGAAGGAAAGGAGGAGAAAAGAGATAGAAGGTATGAAAGGGAGGAAAGAGAGGGTGACATGGAGAGGAGGAGGAAAGAGAAGGAGGGAGGAGGGAAGAAGAGGAGGAGGTAGAGGGAACAAGAAGGAGGGGAGGGAAGGAAGGAAGAGAAGGAGGGAGGGAAGAAGAGGAGGAGGTAGGGAGGGGGAACAAGAGAGAGGGAGGGAAGGGAAGAAGAAGAGGAGGGAGGGAGGGAGGGAGGGAAGTGAATGCGCTGGAGGGTCAACAGGCCGGAGCATTAGTGGCGACGGTGAGAAGGGAGGGGGCTGGGGGGAGAGAGCCCCTCCCAGCGGCAAATCCAGGCAAGGGAGTGCATGTAACTGAGGGGGGGAGAGGGTATGGTATGGGGAGAGGAAGGAAGGGGAGGGGATCTTGGTAGGTTAGGAGTGAGGGCAGGGGGGTGGAGGCCGGGGAGGCCATGTTAAGGGAAGGGAAGGGAGGGGGGGAAAGGGAGGGGAGGGGAGGAGGGGGGTGAGGGAGGCCGGGGAGCACATGTTAAGGGAAGGAAGGGAGGGGGAAAAGGAGGGAGGGGAGGAGGGGGGGGGTGAGGGAAGAAGCGACGTGTAGGAGGCAGTAACTGAGCGCCACAGTCCCTCACTCGGCGCCACTCCCTCAAGGTGTATGATGGCCTCTCACGTTCTTCTGGTCTTGTGCTTACTGACAGGTCAGTCTCTCATCAACCACACCCACCCCCCGTACACTCTCTCTACCTCCTATGTGTCCCAGGGCTGTGTTAATGTGTCTCAGTGTGTCCCATGGTTGTAAATGTGTCTCAGGGGTTGTTAGTGTGTCCCAGGGCTGTGTTATTATGTCCCAGTGTCCCAGGGCTGTGTTAATGTTTCCCAGTGTGTCCCAGGGCTGTGTTAATGTTTCCCAGTGTCCCAGGGCTGTGTTAATGTTTCCCAGTGTGTCCCAGGGCTGTGTTAATGTGTCTCAGTGTCCCAGGGCTGTGTTAATGTTTCCCAGTGTCCCAGAGTGTCTTGGTGTGTCCCAGAGTGTCTTACTATGCCCCACTGTGTCTGAAGTGTGTCCTGGAGTGTCCTAATAACCTCCTTATGTTACGCCCTTGTCCCCAGAATGTCCAACTATTCTCTTTATACCTTAAGTGTCCTGATGTCCTAGTGTGCTCTTGTATCCAGTGTCCCATGTCCCTGTGTCCTAAGGATGTCCGAATGTCCCCGGCTGTTTACCACGTGTCTTACCTGTGATCTGATGTCCAACTGTGTCCTCTCTGTATTGCCAAGTCTGTGTCCATGGGATGTCCAAATGCCCCCATTCTGTTTACCTACTGTCCCACAAGTGTCCAAATGCCCCCCCCCCCCCACCGTGTCCCAGTGTCGGGTGTATGTTTTGATGTCCAAGATGTCCTCGTCGGATATAATGTGTCCTATGTATTTTAAACGTGTGGTGATGCGATTTCTTAACAGTTCATTGTCTCCGTCTGTCCTCCATGTCCCAATGCCTTATGCCACTGTATATTTGAATGCACCAATGTCCCCGTATGTCTTAATTCCATTCCTCCCCTCTCACAAAAATAAATAAATAAATAAAATAAATACTACGGTAAAATATACAGTACATTACAGTACACGAATGAAATATACACAGTTTAGCGTATATAAAGAAGGTGGTAATATTTGAAGTATAAAAGTCATAGAAAACGCATGAAATATATCGTCTAGGATGGATTAATGTAATATCAATAGGAAATATATCTCTTCTGTTGGATAATAACAAAAAAAAAAAAAAATAATGGTTCTTGGTGACGTTAAGGAACAGCCGGGTTTTATGGTCGTATTTTTAATGTGTTTGCGGTTTTGTTTTTCCGCCTCGATGCATTAAGTTGAGCTTTTGTTTTGTGGTTTTGTTTTTTCACGTCCATAACTTAACGCGGAGATACATAGGATGAAGTGTAATATGTTTATTTTATGTCTCACGGATACATAGCTCAGCGGTCTGATTTTATAAGTGTAATAAGCTTAGTAATCAGGATTTATAGCTTACGTCGAATTCAAAGCTTAAAGAAGGGGATTCATAGCGTAGAGATTCGTTCATAGCTTGATAAAAGGGATTCGTACCTCAGCAAGCCGGATTCACAGTTTAAGGATTGGGATTCACAGCTCAAGAGTAGGAATTTATAAGTGATTATTATTTACAGTATTAGATTTCAACGCTTTAACACCGAATTCATAACTGGTGATATGAATCCTAGCAATTGTTTAGATATCCTGATATTTAAATGACATAACCTAGCATTTTAATTACACATCCTAGTATTTAAATGACATAACCTAGCATTTTAATTACACATCCTAGTATTTAAATGACATAACCTAGCATTTACATATCCTAGCATCTTTGAATCTTACCATCTCTCTGCTGAATGAAATGGGTAAAAAAAAAACATATCTTATCCAAGCAATGCAAACCAGCCAAGAACGGACCTACATAATGATGCCTGTAGTGTTTCTGAATTATGAAGTAGATGTCAATTTCAGGTTAAGAAAATGTAAAAGGTAGATTTGATTAAGGTGAGACGAATTTAGGAATGCTGTTAGGTTAGGTTAGATTGGGGTTAGGTTAGGTTTGGTTAAGTTTGGTTAGGTTAGATTGGTTGAGGTTAGCCCATTCTTGATAACAAAATCACCATACAGGGTTAGATTTGGTTAGGTTAAGTCAAGTTAACCTGGATTATGTTAAAGTTGACTAAGTTGTGTTAAATTGCGGTCGGATTAACTTACTGTAGGGTAGATAAGATGCATATATATTTAACTCTTCAAAAATTAAACATCTTTTTTTCCTCCTCAATAGTCTTTTTTCACCTAATTTCTCTAATAATAAATTTTCCTTTTGGGATTTTTATTTACGTATATTTTCACACATTAAGGAAACCCGTCCCAGACACCACTAGTCAAGCGAGGACAGAGGTACTCCACACCACTGAACAGTATAATATTCACAGACATATACAGCCCGGTCTCATCATACCACTGATCTCGAAAAAAAAAAGACTGGATCGAGCAAGCCATTGTTCTCGAGTGCGCAAAGTTGCAGCCAACAAAATTTGGGCAGCGCCATATTAGATGGACCCAAAGCTTACCGCTGAATGTAACACAAATATGGCGAAGCGGGGAACTCAGTGCTCTGCATTGCATAAAGAAACATAAATATTATTTGAAATGAATTAATAGATAGTGGTAGCATTTTATCAATTGGGAAAAGTACTACAGACTCATAACTAAACAATTTGATGGAAAATACACATATTTTTTATAAGAAACTCTTCATAAGAAACTCAACTCTCAGATGACTAAAATTGAAGAAAATTCATTACTGGGAAGTTATTTAAGAAACTTTTCCCTCAGTCGATCAACTTTTCCTAAGAAACTCTCAAGACACTTTGAGTACTCACATAATGCGAAATTGAGAATTTTAAGAAACTATCATTACTGGGTCAAACTCTAAGTTTCGTATAAAAAATGTGTGTATGAACTTATGAACAAGTTAATTTGAAGAACTTTTATACTGAATGTAGATATATAGGATTTTAGATTTCATTACGTTTTTGGAAATTTCTACAGTTAATTGTAAGATATTCTAGATAAAGATGGATGAAATTGAAATAAATTTATTAAAAAAATGAACTTATGAACAAACATTGAATTGAATCAATATTTTTACTGAAAAATGCTTTTAACAAAAAGTCTGGAAGATACCAGAAGAAGTATGTATTATCTAATATGTGTAGCAATTATGTGTCTGAGCTTAACTTGGCCAAACATACATGTGAAACCTTTTTTAAATCTCTGCTCATAGACATCTTAGGTTAGGCTAATGTGAATGTCTGCCTTGTAGTTTTAAGAATCTTGTATTTCTTCATTGCTAAAATATGTCCATACCGATCAAACATAAATCTTGTGTTTTCCTTCATTTTTCTCTTATCTGTAGGACATTTCAAAGACAAAATAAGGTTGTCATAGGGCATACAGTACATAGATGGGCCAGTCATGCTTGCTGTAAACGTAACTCGCCAACGTCATTATCTCGTTCTCTAGGCCTATCCTGGTCTCAGATCACTCCTCTGTCTCCTTGAACAGTTATACGACAGCATCGCCGACAAGGAAAATATTATCCTGGATTTACGAGCAAAATTTGGCATGATAGCACTCACTGATTCAGCCAAGTCCGCGTAAAGCGTGGTCGTGGAAGTAAATATATAAGCTGTCATTAGTTATTCAGATATTCTCCAATACAGGGCTACAGTGACCTCCCCAGCTTTGTTTACGTTTTGGGTCCATCCAATGTGGCCGCCAAGCTTTCAACCTGGCTGCTGTAAACACTAGTGCAGAAAACGCAGACTAAAAAGTGCATAATTTGAAGATAATATGTGTAAAATTAAATAACAACGCGGAAAATTTTGGCGCTAATTTAACATAGATGACGGAAAAGGTGTGAACGTTGCCACAATACTTTTACAATTGGTGTATAACCTCCATAATCACTGTACATCCTATGACAGGTGTACACTGGGAAGGGTTATGCAATAAGAAAGCCGCAGCAACAGCAGGTGTGTGAGGGAGGGAGTGAGAGCCAAGAACCCTTCCGTCAGTGGCCGCCCGACCTTCATAGTCACCGCCATTGTGTTATTTATCCTAGAACACACACACACACACACACCCACACACACACACACACACACACACACACACACCAAGTACCACTCATCCTAACGCCATTAAATACATAAATAAACTCATTTAAAAATACAAAACCATGCTTAATTTATCGAGGTATTCACTATTCTTCATATACTATAAAAAAAAACATGAGAGGCAACCTAAGATAAATGATTGTTCTTTTATAGGATGAATGTTGAGGGTTATAGCCTTGTCTATCCTGGGGGTAGAAATTATTGGCGCCACCAACAACGTTCGGTGGCAGGCGGGAATATCCTCATTTCTCACACGGTTCCTAACACTCAAATGATATCCTTACTTTATAACGAATTTTTTTTGTGTCCTTCGTCTTATGTAATAAATAAAAGAGAATAGTCTAGTACTTCATAACCCCTTTTTTTTTTTTTGAGATGTAAAATGTCGATGTTTTGAGTCGATTCATTTCGGGAATTTCAATGTTGTGTTAGATAGTTATCCATTACCATACGTTACTGGTGGAGTTATTATTATTATTATTATTATTATTATTATTATTATTATTATCCATCTGCTGTATTTATCTTTTACTAAATCAAGAACGCAGCTTTTTGAGGAAATTTCGTCTGCTCCGTCTCCTTCCTCTCGTGACGTGTAGTAAATATCAGAAAGGCTTATTTACAGTTGGTAGTTTACAGTTCTTAAATATATTCTTTGTATATATTTATCTATATCTCTATACTGTATCTAGCTAACTTTGTCAACATTGCAACGAAAGCACAGGGGAATCCAAACTCGCTAACACACACACACCTGAAACTAAACACAGGAACACGGTGGAATAATGCGCTGAGTAAAAACACACATTTACACAGGCTTAAAAAAAATATATATATAAACACGCGACACTTTGACGGCGCCACTTCCTTCAAGACAATGGTGGAAGATGGGATATTATAGGTTACATTGTTACCAGTGAAAGAACTGAAAGAACTCACACACTACAGTACAT